AACTGACAGAAATTGCATTGCAAGGTTTTTTAGCATCAAAGCATATCAATGAGAACAAAGGAAATTTGTCAGAAGAAGAAATATTAGAACTGGAGACTAAGATAAATCAAGGTATACAAGCAGAGTCTGTTGTTTGTCAGTATGTTGACTTTATACTAACAACTTGGAATCCATGTTCCCCAGAAGAAGGGTGGTCCAAACCAGATTCTCATCCATGTCAAACCCAGTATCTGTCTTTGAATGGCAAACAAAAAGAGGAAGACTATGTGAATTTATTAAACTCTGTTGAGAGACATACAATGTGCAGTACTAAGTATTGTCTAAGGGAAACTAGCAAAAATGAATTAGCCTGTAGATTCAAATTTCCTTTTGAAAATTGCCCAAAGACAAGAATAGATTTTGAACCAATAAACACTAAATCAGGCCAAACCAAGTATAGAGCAACCATTGTTACTAAGCGAAATGATTCAAGATTAAATCGTCACCAACCACTGCAGCTCCAAGGATGGAGGGCAAATTGTGATATTCAAATTATTATAGATTATGTGGCATGTTTGGAATATCTTGTGAAATACACATCAAAAGGAGAAAAAGCTTCTTCAGTTCTAAATAATGCATTCACCAATGTAATTAGTAAAGCATCGGACGAAAGTGACATTCATAACATTTTGAAGCAAATTATGATCAAAAGTGTCGGACAACGAGATTATTCAATCCAAGAAGTTATGCATCATTTACTCTCACTCAAATGTGTAAGTGCAACACATGAAGTAATAAATACATCTCTTGATGGTTCACGAAGAGTACAGGTGTCCAAAAATAAGGATTTTTGTACAATCCCATCCATGTTGGATATTTATGCTGAACGAGAGAAGTTTATTAAGACATTTCCAGACATACTGACATATAATTTTTTGCAATTTACCTCCACATTTGTAAGCAAAAACTCAAAACTGGAGAAAAGGAAGCAAGCTGTAATAGTTAAAACTTATCCCAAATTTTCTTCAAATCCTCAAAATCAGCAGTATGGGCTGTTCTGTAAATATCAACTGCTAAAATATAAACCTTGGCAACATGTAGCAGACAATGCATGGGACAATCTTGAACAGTGTGATGAAACTTATAAAGCATGTTGGATGAACTTTTTGTGTAGTGATTGTGGGAAGAACAGTGTTCCTGACTGGGAATTGCAATTGAGCAGCTTAAAAGCAGCCATTAATCTGGAAAATGAAAATGAAAACATGGAAATTATAGAGGAAGAAAAGGAAGAGTGGATGTTTATGTCAGAACTGAATTTACAGGAGTTGAGCACAGATACTGAATATAACTCGACGTTAGCTCCTGAAGGATATTGGCACAATGTTAGTGAACATTTTGACGATGTTGATCTACTTTCTGTTACTTCTTGGTTAAATACTCAGAAAAATAAAAATGAACCAAGTTGGCACATATCATCAAGAGTAATAGATATTTCAAGTTTTAGTAGCGATCAATTGTTGGCATACCATATCATTCTAAATCACTTCAACAGCAGTAATGAACTGCCTTTGCATCTACTTGTTAAAGGAATTGCAGGTTCAGGAAAAAGCTATGTTATTGATGCTGTAAGAAATGTTCTTAAGGAAAAATGTCAAGTACTAGCATATACTGGAAAGGCCTCTTTTAATGTCAAGGGTGTAACACTGCATTCTTTCCTCAAACTACCAATTGGTTCAAAAAGACTCTTCGAATTGAAAGGAATAGCTTTGCAACAACTTCAAACTAATTTACAAAACATTCAGTATTTGATTATAGACGAATATTCATTTGTTGGCCAGAGCTTATTTGGGTGGATAGATTGTAGATGCAGGCAAGCTACAGGTTTAGCTGATCAAGCTTTTGGTGGTCTTTCTGTTATTCTGGTCGGTGATATAGCACAGTTATCCCCAGTTGGTGATAAACCACTTTTCCATTCTTTGCCAAAATCAGAAAAACAGATTCAGGGTCACCTCATATATAAAGAGTTCAAACAAGTCGTCACATTGTCAGTGAATCATAGAGTTGATGGCAAAACTAATGCCCACAGCTGCTTTAGAGATCTCCTCATTAGAGCACGAAATGGAGAATCCACTTTGGCAGATTGGCAGACATTGTTATCTAGAACTCCTGAAAATGTAACAAATATTGAAGAATTCCTAACATCATCTGTAAGGCTATCCTATCTGAAGGCAAAAGTTGCAGAAATGAACTTGATCAAATTAAAAAATCTAAACCAGCCAATAGCAACAATCAAAGCCCGTCATTCTGGTGGTGCTCAAACACTTAGCTCTGATGAAATGGGAGGATTAGAACCTGTCATATATTTAGCTAAAGGTGCTAGAGTTATGCTCACTATGAACATGTGGACAGAAGTTGGTCTTTGTAATGGTGCACTAGGAACTGTATTAGATTTTGTATATGCTGATGGGCAAACTCCTCCAGCCCTGCCTATTTGTGTTCTTGTACAGTTTGATGAACAATATAATGGACCTTCTTTAACTGCAAGTGTTCCAAGATGCGTTCCAATTTGTCCAATAACCCAAATTTCACAAAACATAGGTCACACATGTGAAAGACAACAACTTCCTTTAAAGCTAGCATGGGCTATGACTATTCACAAAAGCCAAGGTCTGACTCTTAAAAAAGCATGGATAGATCTCGGCCCTTCAGAGAATTCACCTGGTATGACATATGTGGCTCTTAGTAGAGTAAAAAGACTCCAAGATCTCATAATTGAGCCAATGACATTTGAAAGGTTGCAAGCTTACAAAAAATCAAATTTTTTGAAATATAGGTTAATTGAAGAAAAGAGACTTGATTCTTTATCTCTAAATGCTTCTAAAAATGGTCATCATGAGTAACTTTGACTTAATACAGTAAGCATGTTCTCCAAAAGCTAAACAAGACATCCAAATACCAATTATTGTGTTCCCCTGTTTTTCTTTGTTTGACTTGATTTAATTATTGTCTTTGAAAAGCCTCTGGAGGAAAGTCAATAAAATATGTATCTATGTGTGATGTATTTTTAATTTGTAAAACATTTTTTGTTGCAGACGATGGCAAGCAAAAGGACTTATTGTAAGTACTGAATATAATTATTTTATCTTATAAATACAGAATTCATGCCCCTTTAAGTAGTCTAAGACTAAACAGGGACAACTGGTGTCCCTGTTATTTTGCAGCAACTCAGCCCCTAGCACCTGACTACTGTATCTGTGAAAGGTAGAGGCAATTTTGTTCTTGGTTATTGTTGTTCACTCATAATAATGAGTACATGCTGACTCCTTTATATTTCAAGCTTTACCTGCAATGTGTCATTTTCTTGAAATATCCAACCCCCCAAATTATTTGACATTACCATGCCAATCAAACATAATTCTCTTATGCATATTCTAACCATCTTAATTGTTTACTTGCAGCAAACGACCATGGGTTTATTCACAACCTCAGTCCAATTAAGAAGTCCCTTAAGTCAAAGCATCAGTGGTATGAATTTCAGCTTCAAACTTCACCCACTAAAGTGAAACGTTTGGTAGGATTTAATCTCTATGTCCATGATTCCTTAAAACATTTTGAGGAAACCAAGAGCCCAGTACAGCTCAAGAACATTATTGTAAAAGACGACAATGAATGTATTTTCAATCAACAATCTGCCGTACATAAAGCAGGCTTGTCAGATGTATCATTTTGTTACACCGAGCAGCCAAAGCTTGAAAGTGCAGGTGAATCAAGTGCTGCAAAGTCAGTTACTGTGTCGAATGTAAAAGGTTTGCACCCAAACCAAAAAGTCAATGTCAGTGGTTCCCTCACTATGGGAAAAGAAGACCTCAAGGCTGTTGTTCTCAGATCCACTGGAGCAACAGCCCATGTGAAGGAAGATTGCGTGTTGGAGGACAACACTGGGTCATCAATGATTCACATTTGGGAACCCCTTGTCCATACCTTGACAACGGGTAAATCATACTGCTTCACCAACCTGACAGTAAAGAATTTCCAAGGGTCGACGTATCTAAGTACATCGCCAAACACAACAGCAAACCTTACAACACAAACAGTGCAAACCCTGACTGGACCAGATATGCTCAAAAGTCCAGAAAAGGAAGTAACTGCTTCAGAATTCAATTTGGTGTCAAAGCTAAACATCTTTTGTTCCTGCAAAGTGTGCAAAAAACGCTTAAATGATGTTGAATCATTCACTTGCACCACACTGAAGTGTGAAAACTGTGGTACACGTCAAAGATCAAGAGATATCAAACTGCAGGCTTCAGCAAAAATTTCTATCACTGAATCAGAAGGTGACAACAGCAAAGAGATGTGGATCCAGGCTTTCACTGAGCAACTAGAAACCCTGCTGGCAGGATCAACCTTATCCCTAAAGGATAAAATCGATGACATTGAAGTTTATCTTATGTCTCTGGAAGACATTTGTTTGGTATACAATGTCCAAACAACAAACATTACAAAGATTCTCTCCTTTAAACGTCCAGAAGTACACTCTGATTAGCACATTGTCTGTGAACAGTCCAATACCCTTGTGTGATTGTCTCGGAGGACGTTGGAAAGTTAAAATTGTTGTTTAATACTGATGTAACATGTGTAGTCTCGGACTGGCCCATGCATCCCAAAGCTAAAAGATGTGCATCTGCTTTCCCAGGTGTTTGACTTTGAGGAACGTTATAGCAGTGAATGAAAAATATTTTGTTACAGTTTAGATTCATGTGTTAGAGATTTCGCTCTATACATCCCTTAATTAAGGATAAAATTAATGACGTTGAAGTTTATCTTATATTGTCTCGAAGAAAATATTTGTTTGGTCAACAATGTCCAAACAATGAACAATACAAAGTTCTTTCCTTTAAACGTCCAGAAGTAAACTCTGATTAGTTCATTCTGTGTGAACAGTCCAATAACATTGTGTGACTGTCTCGAACGATGTTGGAAAATTAAAATTATTGTTTAATACTGATGTAGCATGTGTTATCTCAGACTGGCCCATGCATCCCAAACTTAATAGTTGTGCTATCCCAGTTGAATGACTGTGAAGAAAAAATTTATTTAGTGATTCAGAAATATTTTGTTACAGTTCATATACAATTAAGAGTTGTTATTGTGGGTTCATTTTTGTTCTGTATTACCTTATATTATTCAGTTTTACACATAATTTTTAGAAAGGGAAGAAAACACACTTGGCTATCATTGCAGCACAAACTTTTGTATTGCAATAATGTAAAATCAAGAAACTTATTTTCGTTTTCACCATATTCACCTCAAGATTTAAAACATTTCACGTTGGTTGGAATACTTCACTACTAAAATTTACACCCACAAAACATGACTCCATTTTTTAACATTACCAATGAGTATTTCTTTTCATTGGTTGCTCGTTGGCACTTAGCGATAGCTATATCTAGTTCATAAAACTAAACGTCTAACACATTCACATCAGCACAAAAATGTAAAAAAAAAAAAAAGAAAAAAAAGAGGAAAAGTGAAAGAAAAACAAAAATCAATTTTCACCTTGGTTTCCCCAGCAATTGGTGCCACGTTACAGACTTTCTTGGCTCTCAATGTGTTTATGATGGAACTCTTCCCGACATTAGGGTAACCAATAACGCCAACACTTCAAAAGAAAACAATTTACAGACATAAACCAAAGGCAGAATGCCACTTCTCTTCCCCCCCCACCACCTCTTTCTTCGGGTATGGAAAAGTAATTACTAAAAAAAAAATTGTAGTTAAAATTTCGAGCGAAAATTTGCTCGGATATCTTTCCGCGTAAATCATCTATTCCTCGAAGTGAGCAGACAGAAAAACAGTCCGATGCCTTTTGTTTTTTTGAAGATATGCTCTCTTGGTCTACGTCCATCTGCTATTAATTGAAAAATATTTACAAACGTTGAGGGTTACAACTAACCTTATTTCCTTCTTGTCAGTGTGAAGCTGTGAAAGAGAAAAAAAGTATAAAATTAAAAAAACCGGGAAATGCACATTTTAAACCAAAGCTATCGGTCGTTTTTTTTCAAGTGACCTTTCCGCCAAGGGCTGTCTTACCCTGCACTAAAGTCGTTTCCCCCAGAGTTGAAGCACAATTACATGTAAGTCCCAGGCAATTTACGCTATTTCATCATTTTTTTATCCTCGAGAAACTGCTCAAGCTTGAAGGAAATCCCTTGCGTTATGGGAATTCAAGTGAAGGTTTCAAGAATCTAAGATCAATTAGTATAACAATGGTAACGAGAATGAAAGTTTCATTGTCTTAAGTGCTGAAATTTGACACATAACATCTCAAAATTAGTTTAACATCTTCCTTTATTCAACAACCGAGTTCCAAATTAACCACAATATACCGTCATCAATCTAATAAAAAACTTATCAAAACATTCCATATACCTTTGCAAACTGTCTGAGTAGGTTGATCAGAGCCCCTTTGCCAAATGGATTTGTAACACTTGCATGGAAGGCAAGAGTAGGATGATCTGCAGACAGGACTGTCACCCATCTTTGCTGTACATAACAAATAGACATAACGAAAATATATCATGAAACACCAGCAGCATCAAAACCACATCAAGACACTCTAGCCTCCCGTTTAAGCGAGAATATGCTGGGATATTTCTCCATGAACGTTATCTGTTTCGAGAAGGAAACAGTTTTCCAAGGAACAGAGAATTATCCGAGCATACTTTCCCGCCAAATGGGAGTCATCGAGATTGTCATTCCACGAAAATACTTTGCAACGCGGGAGACAAAACGCTTAGCAAAAGCTTTCCGTTTACGTGTACGACATGGAATGTTGAGTTTTCAGTTGGTTTACTTTTCCGTAACACCAGCTGAAAGCTCCCCCTTCTTACATTTAAGTCTCAAGGAAGCTTTTTGGACGCTAGGTTTTCAACTTTGGGAATATCACTCTACAAATATCACCGGATATTTCCCAGTTTTCTGGAGATACATTTGATCACAAGTGAAAAGAGGTGAAGCGGGAGAATGGTCTGCATGAAATAATAAAAATTTTCTCCCATTCAGTTTTTGTTCCAATATCATCATGAAACAGTAAAACCGCAAAAGATTTTCTGTGACAACCAAACTAACTCGATCTCAAAGAAGACTGTAAGATATTGGTTCAGTAGGGTGGTGAAACACATGAGACAAGGAGAGCAAACGAGGATAAAAATGGTTTCTATTTGTCACGAGGCACAAATTGCACCTACGTGTATACGCTGACCACATAGTTTGTTACTTACCGTTACCCAGGTTGGCACCAGATCACACTTGTTCAAAACAAAAATAAGATGTTTATGCTGTTTCTCTTTCTTCATGAAGGACTCAATATGAGATGAACGTGTTCCCATGGGATCACGAGCATCTAGTACCTAAAATGAAAGCCCAAATAACCTTATGTATAAAAACATTACTTTGCTTTTAGGGGGCTCACGATTTTACATGTACAGTTAACTCCTGATGCCTCGATCACACGTTAACTCAAACCTGGTGCTAAATAAATTTCTAGAATGGTCTAGCCGTAATCGGGCATCCATGCAGCAATCACAGCGAGTATAAATAGCCTGGCTTTTTTCGAAATAAGGTGGCTATGACGTATTTCCGTTAGTGCACGGTATTCCACAGAATACCACGCTCTCTTTAGGGTATCACGTTTAGAAAGATACCGGGTTCAAATACTAATCCTTACCCTAACCATACTTCATGTCATAGCACCTCCTATTAGTCCAATATGTGCTTTGTAATCACTGTGCTTTCTGCTCTACTGCAGTTGTCCAAAACAAGAAAAATAGGTCAGACTAGAAGACTGACTGAAGACTGGGGTGTAGGGGGCTCTGGATAGAGGTAGTACCTTTGTTGTCTGGCAGCTGCATCCTACTAGGGTGGACGGGCACACTGGTCCTCATCCATCTCCTAAATCTCTCTCGTGCTGGCTCCAAGCGCCACACCCCGGCACACCGCTTCAGCTGGCGGGCTAAACCACGTGAGGGGGTGATGTTCACACTGCATCACTACTACTTCAGGGTAGATGGGGCTCTTTAGCCGCGGTGAAGGCAACCCATCTAGGGGAGGGAAAACCCTGATTTCAAACCTCCACTGCTTTGTGGCTATACCTGATAGCAGGAAAAGCTTCAGGAGTAAACCTCGAGGTTAAATCCAGAGTGGAGCCCCTAAGGCGAAAGGCAGATGCACAGCACTACCTTCCGGCAGCTCCTGCAGTGAAACTGGCTCCAAATTGTAAAGGTTCACCCTTTCCCTTGGACTCAGCCAGCGGAACCGAGAGGGGGACACTGAAGTGTGGGCAACCCAGCGTCTCCATTCTAACCCGCCCAGGCTTTCAGCGCAAACTGGAGAGGTCACTCCAGCGGTTCTTTGCAAGATTCCGGCACAACACGGGATGAGACAGTTCACCGGTTCTAAGCTCCTGACCGATTGGCGTAGGTTGGAGCGCCAGGGGTATCATCCGACGGTGGGAGAAGCCCTCGTAGCTTCACTGGGCAGCTACCGCCCGCCTCAAGCTGGGCAGCCCCCAGCCAGTAAGGTGCTGCCCCGCCATGGCTCGCCTGCTCTACTGGGTGCGTAGGGCTTAGGGGACCTTCCCCGACAAGCGAGTCACAACTTTGCACCAGGCAAAAAGAAAACATTAACGAAGACTCCAGCTCTTCGCATCGCAAGCTGGAACGTTCGAACTATATGCCCTGGTCTCTCTGCTGATCTTCAACAGATAGACGACTCCCGCAAGACCGCCATCATCAACAAGGAACTGACACGGCTTAACATCGACGTTGCCTGTCTCCAGGAGACTCGGCTGGCCGACAGCGGCTCTCTTAGGGAATCTGACTACACCTTCTTTTGGCGAGGCTTGTCCCAGGACAAGCCGAGGCTGCATGGAGTAGGTTTTGCTGTGAGGAACTCGCTGCTCGCCACCACAGAAACGCCAATTGGAGGCAGCGAAAGAATCCTAGTCCTCCGCATGAAGACACCTACAGGGTTTGTCAACTTCCTGTCTGTTTACGCCCCGACCCTTACATCCAGCACAGAAGCCAAAGATCAGTTTTACGAAGACCTGGAGGAAACAGTGTCCCAAATACCCCGCTCCGAAAGTGTATACCTGCTAGGTGACTTCAACGCACGCACTGGTTCCGACTGGCAAGCATGGCCCGCCTGTCTCGGCCATTTCGGTGTTGGCAAGTTAAATGAGAATGGGCAGAGACTGTTGGAACTCTGCTGCAATCGTGGCCTCTGCATCACCAACACCTACTTCAAGTGCAAGGAGCTGCACAAAGTTTCTTGGAGACACCCCCGGTCACGCCACTGGCACCAGCTTGACCTTGTCATTACCAGGAGAGCTGACCTCAGCAGCGTCCTCCACACGCGAAGCTATCACAGCGCAGACTGTGACACAGATCACTCCCTTGTTGGCAGCAAGATCAGGCTGAAGCCTTGTAAGATCCACCACGCCAAGACAAAGGGTCGCCCCCGCATCAACACCTGCGCTACTGCCGACCCAGCCAAGACTCAGAGCTTCGTCGAGACCCTTCAGGAAAAACTTGCCAACCAGCCTACAACCGATGTCGCGGATGCCAAATGGTGTCACCTCCGGGATGCTATTTACGACTCGGCCATGTCTGCGTTCGGAAGAAAAGCACAAGAATGCTGACTGGTTCGAGGCGCACTGGAAAGAAATGCAGCCAGTCACGGAAGCCAAAAGGATAGCCCTCCTGGCTTACAAGCATAACCCTTGCCACAGCACACGCGACGCTCTGAGAGCAGCTAAGAGCAAGGCCCAGCAGACCGCCCGCCGCTGTGCCAACAAGTACTGGCAGACCCTGTGCGCCAAGATCCAGACAGCTGCCGACTGTGGTCACATTAGAGGGATGTATGAGGGGATCAAGACAGCCACTGGCCCTACGAGCATCAAGACAGCACCGCTCAAAGCAAAGTCTGGTGAAGTCATCACCGACCAGAGCAAGCAGCTGCAGCGTTGGGTCGAGAACTATCTCGAGCTCTACTCAACCCAGAACATCGTGACTGACGCTGCCCTTGATGCCTTGCCCAGATTACCAGTCATGGAGGAGCTTGACGAGATGCCCACACTGGAGGAGCTCAGCAAAGCCCTCGACAACCTTGCCTGCGGCAAGGCGCCAGGGAAAGACAGCATACCATCAGAAGTCCTAAAGCACGGCAAGCCTTTCATCCTCCAGCCGCTTCATGAGCTCCTCTGCCAATGCTGGGTAGAAGGGCACATCCCACAAGACATGAGAGATGCAAGTATAGTCACCATCTACAAAAACAAGGGTGACCGAAGCGATTGTAATAACTATCGCGGCATCTCGCTTCTCAGCACTGTAGGCAAAGTCTTTGCGCGTGTCACTCTAAGTCGTCTACAGAGTCTTGCTTCACGAGTTTACCCAGAATCCCAATGTGGGTTCAGAGCCGCCAGGTCCACAGTGGACATGATCTTCTCCCTCCGCCAGCTACAGGAGAAGTGTCGTGAGCAGCAGCAACCATTGTTCCTCGCTTTCGTGGACCTGACCAAAGCCTTTGACCTGGTAAGTCGAAGCGGGCTCTTCCAGATCCTTCAGAAGATCGGCTGCCCACCGAAACTCCTTGCCATCATCGCCGCCTTCCACGAGGACATGCAGAGCACCGTCTGCTTTGATGGAGCCACCTCGGATGCCTTCCCAGTCAGAAGTGGAGTAAAACAGGGCTGTGTTCTGGCACCAACTCTGTTCGGGATTTTCTTCTCGATGTTACTCCAGTATGCCTTTGCCGATTCCTCGGACGGTGTATACATTCGGACAAGGGCAGACGGCAAGCTCTTCAACATTGCCAGGCTCCGCGCCAAAACGAAGACCTTTGAGGTGCTCATCCGCGAGCTGCTGTTCGCAGATGATGCTGCCCTGGCATCTCACAGCGAGGCAGGCCTCCAACGCTTAGTCGATAAGCTGTCTCACGCCTGCAAAGAGTTCGGCCTTACCATCAGCCTAAAGAAGACGAACATCCTTGCCCAAGATGCACTGACACCTCCCGTCATTACAATCGACAATACTGAACTGGAGGTGGTGGACTCTTTTACTTACCTAGGGTCCACAGTATCAAACAAGGCATCACTAGACGTCGAGATCAGCTCAAGGATTGCCAAGGCAGCGGGAGTAATGGCCAAACTCAACAAAAGAGTGTGGAACAATGACCTGCTGAGCGTGAGGACCAAACTGCAAGTCTACCAATCTTGTGTCCTTTCCACACTCCTCTATGGTAGCGAGTCATGGCCCACATACGCCAGACAAGAGAAGCGGCTCAACGGGTTCCACCTCCGCTGCCTTCGGCGTCTTCTCCTGATCAAATGGCAGGACAGAGTCCCCAACACCGAGGTCCTTGGGCGAGCCGACATGCCTAGCATCTCTACACTACTCATCCAAAGACGCTTACGGTGGCTTGGCCATGTACACCGTATGGACCCCGGTCGCTTGCCAAGACAAATCCTTTATGGGGTACTGCGAGAGGGCGTCCGACGCACGGGCCGACCACTCCTTCGCTTCAAGGACGTTTGCAAGCATGACCTGCAACTCACTGAAATCATCCCCAACACCTGGGAGATCCTTGCGACAGACCGGGAAGCCTGGCGTCGGGGTGTGAAGGACGGGGCTCACAGGGCTGAGATGAAGGCCAGGGCCGAGGCGACTATCAAGAGGGGGACGAGAAAGAAACGTCAAAGATCAGATCAAGAGGCCACCAATTACATCTGTTCCAGCTGCAACAAAGATTGCCACTCAAGAATCGGGCTTTTGAGCCACTCAAGAGCCCACCAACACTGATGCGCTGACCATCGCCTCTTCGAGACGAGGATGCCATTATTATTATTATTAGGTCAGACTAGTCATAGACAAGTATAACTTTTGAATTCTCAGTTTTGGGCTTAAAGTCCATACGTATGCAGACACTTTTGAGGTTGAAAAAGGACCATCCAGCTTGCATGAAATTTTGATGTAATGCATGGGTAAATTCCTAGAAAAGATGCAATGCCAAGCTGCGTTTCATCTCAATACCCCTTGTTCTTTCTTTTACCTTGTAAAGCTCATTCCAAATTCTTTTTGATTGTCCTTTTGTGAACAGTGATTCTTTAGCTTCCTCTCTGCGAGAAGGACATGAAAAATAATGATTCAACAAAGTACGACATCAATTTAATTACGCACTGACATAAATAAATAAAACAAAAGACAAGTTACAAAAACAACAACGAAAAATTTCCATTTTTACAGACTGACATAGCTATAGTATACCAGTAATTACAAATGCAAATAAAACAATTGCTAACAAGTCACCCACTTGTCAACCAACACTGTGTGCTGAATCAAATTCATTCTGACTGTCTGCTGGGCATTGAACATTGAGAGGAGCATTTACAACTGTAAATTTTCATGTATATCATATGGAAGACAGTGTCAAAAATTTTAAACCTCTTGTGAAGTACATGTATCAGGCATTTTTTTCCTTCTCTCACTATGATATAAAGTGATGCCTAGTTTCATTATTTTGCATGCACTTTCACCTCAGCTCTAATTTCCTTCCTCATAAATCAGAGTTCATACCCTTTTTCTGAAAGAAATATTATAAGAACTTTCCCAGAACTTTTCCAGGACTCATATTGATTTTTCCAGGACTCCAGATTTCACCTGTAACTCTTTCATTCCTAAGATTTCGATGTCAGTTCTCCTTACAGTCTACATTTTCTTCTTACATGTATAACATAAATTCTGAAAACTTCATTGTTCAAGTTTAAGCAGATTCCCAGCAATTTCTAGGGCTTGTAGTCTCTTTCCAGGACTGGGAAGTCCTGGAAAATTGCAAAATAAAATTCCAGGGCTCTTCAGGTTTTCCAAAACGTGTACAAACCTTGTATATTATAATTAGGATATGATACTGGTGGTCTTACATGTACAACAGCTTAACTGGTACTTCAAAATGTGTTTTAGAAGAAAATCTTGTTCAATGAAGCTTACCTTTCCCCATCATCTTCCCTAACAAGGTTCATATCTTTCTCTTCATCATACATTTCTACAAAGTTTACAAAGGATGCATTCCACTTAGATTTCAAGAATTCAATGTTTACAACAACTATTCTTCTGAGAAAAAAAAAACAATCATCCAACAAACCCATAAAATTTGGCTGCCACATGTTTCCTTTGAAATTTTCAATGTGTAAGGCTGATAAAGGTATATCTGGCACAATAACTCCCATGAAGGGCCTTTCGAGGATCATTAACTACTAGTAGGCGATAAAATATGATAGTAAATAAAAATAATAAATTATGATAATTTCAGACAATTTTTCTATTAATAATTAGCTGATGACACCTGTGCAGCTTCCATAAAACCCTGAAGGAAAATAGAGACCAGAAATGTTCACTTTTAACACTTTTGTTTCATAACATCACTAAATTGTGATTCTTTAGGAACACTCAAATGCTTACCTCTCAACCAAATGTAGATGCAAAACTCAAAACAATCTTGATTAAGTCACACTGATTTTTTTTTCACAATAATTGTTCATATGTTCTCATCTTTACTCTGAGTTCTCAAAAGTTTCTTGAAATAAGTTAATTCCTATATTCTGATAATTTGGTTGTTGCAATTATTTTGAGTTTAGGTTTAGTAAAATGTACTCTATATCTCTTGTATAATTACAAAAAAAAACAATTACTTATACTCATAGATTAGAGTTTCTCCCATAGAGCTGTGTTGTGGTTTAAAATGGATTCACTCTCATTTCATTAATTTTATCCATTTCTATTTTTTTAATTTCAGGGTCAGATAACTGGAACAGAGAAAAAGCAATTCAAACTATTTCAAAATCATTTGAACCTAAAATTCATTTGTTTGAGGCATTGTGGGTTGCCAAACACTGATACATGCTGGTAAATTTGAAAAGAAAAACCTTATGTGTTTAATTCCTTATGTCCCTGAAGTTGTATTAATTATGATCAAAATGCCTTCTTCATGATCTTATTGATGAAAAGACTAATGTCACCAACCTTCATATCAGCTGCCTTAAGGTTTGGTCTTTTGCGTTGTGCTTTGGGTCCAAAGGTCGTTCCAAAACTTTCTGTGTCCAGAATATGTACTCTGGCTGACTGTACCTTGTCATTCAACAAAGACAATGGCAGTTTACTTTGCTGCATCACAACCTGTTGGTAGTCACAGCAATATTATTTTGACCAACTAGGACTAGTAAGTTGATCTTTAACAAACATGCAATTAACTACAAGGGGGGCTTTTAACATTATGGCTGCTTATCTCAGCAGCGTTGAGGATGCTTGTCACATTTGAATCCTGCATTGGACCTACCTCGCCAATCAACTGAAAATTTACCATCTTCTCTCATCTTCACACAACATGCTCTCTCCCTAACCAACCCTAACTGAATATGAAACAATAGTGTCTTGTATGTGAACCTACAAGACCTGGCCTGCTATCACATCACCTGTACCTTGATTGGTAGAACATCTACATGTCACAAATCAGACCTGGCTAGGATTTCAAGTCCTCAAGTGGATATCATATATCTTTTTGTTCTACACAAATAACAAATGTACAACATCCATCTCAAATTCTGTAACATATTAACAGTACTGTATGAAACTAAGCCATTTACAACATGCCTTGTACGGATCATTGAGAACTTTTCCCATTTCATCTTGGAATGATTGCAAAGCATTTTGTGATATCACCCTTGTGTTTCCTGTTACAATAAATTAGATAAATAAAGAAGATTAAGGATTATTTTATTTATGTTTGACTTTTCTCTTAAATTCAATCATTTAATTTCTTAGTCATGAAACAGCTTAAAACCATTTATAATGAAAAAACTATAGCCAGGGGAAATTTTCCGCAAGAAGTGATTTGATCTTTAACATTACAAGTGTCATTAAGCTGCTAAACCTATGATATAAATTGCAGCTATTGTTATTTCACACTTGTGGAAAGTAAACAGGCGAATTATGTTGTCATAATAAATAAATCCTTGTCCTCTGAAAAAAAATTACTGGCACAATTAAACATTACAGTTATAATAACAACTAGTGCAAAAATGATATAAAATAGTGTGGCTTAAAATTGTCTCTGAAGCTGGAAATTATAAGAGTGGACAACTTCCTACAAAGAGCTCAACAACAGGTATGAGCCAAGCATAAAGTGCATTAAAGAGTACAACCAAATGTTGCCTGGGTCCAGGTTCTTCAGTGGCAAATAGGAAAGAAATCAGGACACAGGATCAAAACAAGGAAGGGAATGGTTATAATGGCAAAGAGTTTGAACTGATCCTCCATGCCACCAGTCCACCCTTACTCAATTAAACCATGAGCAAAATTTCAAAAAGTCAATTGATCCATCAAAGAGTTGCCATTATGGATCTTTCTTTGCTTTAAAAGCACCTGAAAGTAATCAAAGTGGTTCTGAACCTCTTAACTCAGGATGTGGTTTATGAAAAGGTCTTTTGAAACTTTCAAAGTTTGGTTCTTAACTTTTCAAACAAAGTTCTTTTCATGCTCTTTTTTGATCTTGTTTCCCAGTTATTCAGGTCACCCATCACTCAGTAACCTAAAACCAGTCTTCTACGATTGCTCAGTACTCCTCTAGCTGAAGGGAAGGGAGCTAAACAAGGAGAAGTAAGACTGAAACTTTCAGCTACTGTGTGGGAAAATCTTGTACCGTTTATGGATAAAAACACAGCCAGAATTTCTTAAAATGAGCTCAAAATGTTGGGAAATTCATTTGAGATGATGGGAAAAGTGAATCAGGTGGATATTAATTTTAATTCCAAAGCATGTAGAGCTAAATGTACTTACCAAACCATTTTCTGTTTGGAGCCACTCGTGCCACTTCTCCTGAAGCAACAGAGCTTTGAAAGGGAGCAGGCTTCACTATTTTTCCTTTCTTGTTCCTATTTAAGAAAAATCACAAAGGCAAAATTTATGTGGTGTCAAAAAAAACAAAACAAAACAAATTATATCAAAGGCAATGTAAAAAGTTGTGCATGATGGTGTAAAAAAATCTTAGAGTGGATATTAGGAAAAGATTTGTAATTTAACCCTTTAACTCCTATAAGTGACCAAGGAAGAATTTCTCCATACTATGTCTACAATACCAAGCAGACAAGTGATGAGAATAAAGAAAAATATTAATTATGGGATTACTAACTGATCCAATATCATATTCTCCAAACTAAGATAATAAGAATCATTTGGCAAACAATAAGGAAAATTACTAATAAGATCTTGGGAGTTAAAGGGTTAAATTCCTTTTATCTAATCAGACCAACTTTTGAAATTTGAGTACAAAAAATGACCCACAAATAAATGTTTCACAAAAAGAAGAAGAGGGATTCAGCCTTGAGTTTGACTTAGACACATGAGCCCCTGGTACCAAAGTGGCACCCTATTAAATGAACCAAGTTCTCAAGAACACTGGAAGCTGTTATCTGCCAAAAAAATTGGTTGACAAATTCAAGTTGTAAGGTCACTTTCAAGGCAGTAGGAAAATGTAATTTAAAATGAACCTCCCATTCATGCATCATCACCTACAGGGTGCCAAATAGTTTTTCTTTCTTTAAAGTAAATGTTTCACCTAGTGTCCTTTCCAGTTAAATTAACTGTAACGTGAACGGCAGTAGGCTTCAAGTCCTTCAGTTTCACTAAGAACAGTATGTTTAACCCTTTAACTCCAATGAGTGACCAAGACAGAATTTCTCTTTAAAATATCTATACAGTATCACCCAGATAAGTGATGAGAATAAAGAAAAAGATCAATTTGGGGATAATTAGTTGATCCAATGCCAAATTCTGTGAACTAACATTAAAAGAATTGTATTGTTGACAGTAAGGAGAATTACAAATTTGATCTGGGAGTTAAAGGGTTAAGAACCACCTTCACCTTTTGTACCACAAGATGTAGTGACACTCCTATGTTCAAACCATTTCCTGCCAGTATTAACTGGCTGTATTAACTAAGGTGAAACTGGGGTGAATGAATAAAAGGGGGTAAGTTTCTAAAGAAACTGTGGCACTGTATTGGTAAGAGAGGGTAAAAGGGTAATTTAGTATTATCAACTAAATTGATGATGAAAATTGGCCATGTGAAAGAGTTGATGATGTTTCCAGTATAAGCCCTTTGTCAGAGCAATACAATCACTAACACCCAAAATGTCAGCTCTTTAAAATTCTTTACAGTGGCCAATTTATGCTATCAACTCAGTTAATAATACAAAATTACCCTGAAACTACGGTGCTTGTCTTGTTCAAACAAGCACCTTTTTAAAGACCAACACTTGGTGCACTTAGGGAATCCTCCTTTACTGTATTTAAAAGTTGGCCTCATCAATACAAAATATAGAAAAATATTCAATAAAAGGATGGAGGACAATTGTTGTCAGCATGTGTTTTTATTGTGGAATGTACACACCTTACAGCCTTTCCTCCTGATTTGTACATCTTAAGTCTGTTAACTGTTGCTTTGTCTCTCATGTTTGAACCCGCTGCTGGTTTTGGACGGTCTGTAAAATGTTCTTTGTTAAAATAGTTGAAGTGCACCATGCATGTCCTATGTTTCGATTTTTTCATGGATGAAAATTTCTAAAACCAGTTTGACTCCTGTTTTTCTTCCTCTTATATCAGTCATCATTGTATGAAATGGAGAAAACTAAAACTTTTCTTGGAATAAAATTCTCAAAATCAAGGGAAAACCACAGATCAATGTTATAACACAATAAATGCATGCGGAAAGAGGAAATATTCTGCAGACAAGGTACAAATCTTCCATAACCAGTTTCACTGCTTCATAACTATTGTTTCCTTAACTGTACAGCAGCTGCACACTAACAGAATATTAATCCTTGTGACTGATTCAGTGGTGCCAATGAATGCAGTGCGCTCTTTTTCTATAAGAACATTCAGGCTGACATGAAACAAAATTGAAGAACCTGTCCAGGCTGAAAGTCAGTTAAGAACGACTTCATTTGGCCAGTTTTTTGTGTGAGAAGTATCAATAAAAGCAAAAGAAATATAAAACTGTGGTCTAGCAGAACAATTAACTCAAATACCAAGGAACATTTTTCTGACTGATTTATTGAGATACCAGACCACTCAACTCTAAGAACATATTAAAAACGTTTTTAGGCTCACATCACAGTAGAAAACAAGAACGTTCAGCCTTAGCAAAAATTGGACGTTCTTATTTATACATATATGTATATCTATGAGAATGTACAGTCATCTAAAAAACTACAAGTTATGTCCCGACTGCCCAATTGAAATCACAGACACAATGCAGACTTGTTGACCTCACGTTAGATAAGTTAAAATAGTATTGTAGACGAAAAACTCGCCTTTGAAATTCAGGCGACCGAATTTGGAAATAAAATTCCTGCATTACAGTGAGGAAAATAATACAGTAACCAAGACTTCATAACGAACGTAATCACCTGGGTTCATGCTGCTGTTGGATTTCTTGGCCGTTTTCTCTGGACCTGACTTTTTCCTTGTCTTCGCCATGTTAAACAGATATGTGCCTCAAATGTGTCGTCTGATAATTTCCTTACCGAGATATTATTCAAAATCTGAATAAATACAACGCACTACACAGAACCTTATTTCATCCGCCATATTGACCACGTGCGACCTGGAAACTATAAACCAAAGTACTGTCCGGAGAGGGGTGAGTGGAAGAATTTTTGATAGCAAAAATGGCATAAAATTAATTCAGTAGTACCAACCCTTGTTTCTTAGAAAACTCTTCAAACTGACGATTGATCAATGAAAAACACTAAGTTCGCCTTTCACATCTAAATTTCCTCTTTACCAGAGATTCGCGAAAAACCTTTCAGTGGCTACTCGTCAAAGTCGCTGAGGACTTTCCAGGGGGGCAAGAGGTAGACGTGGTGAGTAATTCATTCACATCCTCGGAGACCCAGTGGCTGAGTCGAAATCGACTCACAGCCCCTGGGTCTCCGAGGATGTGAATGAAACGAAACCCGTCAGAGTCGTGGGTTCAACATGAGAAGTAGGGGAAAAATTAACTCGTGGACAATATCTTTAGGTAACAACAATCTACATGGTGCAGATACAGAACACAGTGTTGAGAATTTATAAAAGACAATTGCCCCTTTAGAGTGTGGACGTCTTGTATTCTGCAGCATACAGCTTTATTGATATCTGTCGGGCTATACCAGTAACTAAACTACTCTCTATATCTAGTTACGAGCTCGGCTTTTATAGGTACGGTTGAGGATCTACAACGTTCCGTAACATTGCAATACATTCTATTTATATATTGATTCAGGGATGACTCAGCATGACACAGCTACTTCTAGAACATTCTTGAAGGTCACAACAATCCGAACTAATTCTTTCACTTTCACGCTCCAGTTTTCCAATGAACATCAATGACGTCACATAAGAAAATAAAGTGGATGCATAGTCAAGCTTAGGCCAAACCTCGATGTGCATTTGAGAGTCAAACATTCGTACCATTTGAAGCTCCTCCTCAACAGCTTCAAGCCTTTTCTTGTACAACATTAAGATAAAAAAACTGCAAGTAGAATTTTGCAACTCTAAGGTGAGCTTTATCCTTGTTTATCAATCAAGTTTGCTAATGTTGTAGCAGCAGGTGAGCCTTATACTCAGTTTACGAAGTTGTTTTGAATTTGCACCTAGTGCAGTTACAATGTTATTGTTTATCAGTCGAATTTTACAAGAATCAGATATCGACATTGAGTACTTTTTTTGCTGGAAAATAATTCGCGTATATGAAGCTCAGTACGGGGACTGTGTAGTGTCCAGAACAGAGATAAGCGCATTAATACCAGAAATGTGATTACGTGAGCACTTTCGCTTTCAAACGATTAAAGGGGGCAAGTTTCAAAAGATTCTGCGGTGCTGTGTTGGCGTGGAGTATAACAAGATAATTTGGTTTCATCAACTAGGTTGATAAAGTAAATGGGCTTCCCGGTAAAGGATATCTAAAGCTGCCGTAAATTTAGCCGCTCATGGTGATGGAACTTATACATTAGAAACGAACACAACTTAATTTCACTTTGTGTGGCCTCAAGACTAAATTTAATTTGGTGTCAAAGGAGGTGACTCAGTGCAGCGAAAAAAATCACTCGTTAGCATTTGATTGGAAAATTGGTGAAGAAAAGCACTGAAAAAGATTGCAAACAGGTTGTATGTACCATACCTGCTTAAGTTACTTATTAGAGATATTTAATTCGGCGGTAATTGTGAAGTGAACTCTGATAAGACCATGTCAAAAGTGATTTTAGTTTTGTATAAGAAGTTTTGGTAAAATTGGACGATTTTTTTTTGTTGCTTAATCAGCAAACTTCCGATTTTCAGGTAAGGGAAACTTTTATGTAATGGTATAAAACACACATAATTTCTGATCCTTCTAGAAATAGTTTTGTTTTGCCGAGAGGCGTATTGTTTCACGATAGGAGGTCGAAGGGCAGTGAGACTGAAGGAAAAACAAAACTGGATGTGTCGAAACGGGTCAGACATTATCTTAAGTGCTTTGGTAATAATACCTTCAGAGGACGATAATAGTAAACAAGGAAACTGTAAATGAGCGTTCATCACTGTCTGTAAAAGAATAACTTAATTTCTTGTGAACACTGCCAATGTATCACAAATACATCTTAAGATACGTATAAGCTTTGGAGAACCGACTTTTCTTTCTGATCTCTTCCTCTGATAAAATAGAAAAGCGCTTTTTTTAGCCTCAGGCTGCTCTATTCGGTTTTTCAAGAACTAGCGGAGAGCTGAGGACAAATTGTCTGGAATCAATGTGAAGTTAAGAGAAGATTGCTTCAAAAGCATATCTCGACATAGAGGTTTGACGGAATGAGTCCTTTCAACTATTGATTCAGGGATGACTCAGCATGACACAGCTACTTCTAGAACATTCTTGAAAGTCACAACAATCCGAACTAATTCTTTCACTTTCACGCTCCAGTTTTCCAATGAACATCAATGACGTCACATAAGAAAATAAAGTGGATGCATAGTCAAGCTTAGGCCAAACCTCGATGTGCATTTGAGAGTCAAACATTCGTACCATTTGAAGCTCCTCCTCAACAGCTTCAAGCCTTTTCTTGTACAACATTAAGATAAAAAAACTGCAAGTAGAATTTTGCAACTCTAAGGTGAGCTTTATCCTTGTTTATCAATCAAGTTTGCTAATTTTGTTGCAGCAGGTGAGCCATATATTCAGCTTATGAAGTTGTTTTGAGTTTGCACCAATGCAGTTACAATGTTATTGTTTATCAGTCGAATTTTACAAGAATCAGATATCGACATTGAGTACTTTTTTTCACTGGAAAATAATTCGCGTATATGGAGCTCAGTACAGGGAATGTGTAGTGTCCAGAACAGAGATAAGCGCATTAATACCAGAAATGTGATTACGTAAGCACTTTCGCTTTCAAACGATTAAAGGGGGCAAGTTTCAAAAGATTCTGCGGTGCTGTGTTGGCGTGGAGTATAACAAGATAATTTGGTTTCATCAACTAGGTTGATAAAGTAAATGGGCTTCCCGGTAAAGAATATCTAAAGCTGCCGTAAATTTAGCCGCTCATGGTGATGGAACTTATACAATAGAAACGAACACAACTTAATTTCACTTTGTGTGGCCTCAAGACTAAATTTAATTTGGTGTCAAAGGAGGTAACTCAGTGCAGCGAACAAAATCACTCGTTAGCATTTGATTGGAAAATTGGTGAAGAAAAGCACTGAAAAAGATTGCAAACAGGTTGTATGTACCATACCTGCTTAAGTTACTTATTAGAGATATTTAATTCGGCGGTAATTGTGAAGTGAACTCTGATAAGACCACGTCAAAAGTGATTTTAGTTTTGGATAAGAAGTTTTGGTAAAATTGGACGATTTTTTTTGTTGCGTAATCAGCAAACTTCCGATTCTCAGGCAAGGGAAACTTTTATGTAATGGTATAAAACACACATAATTTCTGACCCTTCTAGAAATAGTTTTGTTTTGCCGAGAGGCGTATTGTTTCACGATAGGAGGTCGAAGGGCAGTGAGACTGAAGGAAAAACAAAACTGGATGTGTCGAAACGGGTTAGACATTATCTTAAGTGCTTTGGTAATAATACTTTCAGAGGACGATAATAGTAAACAAAGAAACTGTAAATGAGCGTTCATCACTGTCTGTAAAAGAATAACTTAATTTCTTGTGAACACTGCCAATGTATCACAAATACATCTTAAGATACGTAGAGTCTCAGTGTTATCCCTCGAGTTATGTAAACTGAATCAATATTCCCCCGGTAAACAGTAAATTTTGTTTTCTCGTCAGTTTTTTTTTCCGAGAGTCTCAGTGTTTCCCACAATGGAGTTGAGGGAAACAATAAGACTGTTTCCCGTGAAACCAGACATTAAGTGCTTTGTCACACATGTAGAGGACAAACAAAGCAAACAAGCCAAAACAAGGGGGTTTATCACTGTTTACAACAGAGCAATGCAACTTTACCTCTGGTAAACACTGCTAATGTACCAAAAATGTATATTGAGATACGCAGAAGCTTTGAAGAACCAATTTTGTGTCTTGCAATAAAATAAAAATGAACTGTTTTTAGCCTCAGGCTGCTCTATTATGTTTTCAAGAACTAGCGAAGAGCTAGCGACAAGTTGTCTGGAGTCATTAAGGAATTCAGAGAAGAAAGTTTCAAAGTATTCAGTCTCAATCGCGCCACCAGCCTCAGCCACGTGCGTTTTGATAAAGTACACAATCTAGGTACTGATCACGTTCAATGAACGTATTACGCTCGACATACAATTTTGTTGGGATGTCAAAACTGTATGCCAAGCAGAATAAATTTTAATTTATGCAGGGTCATGAGATTAATTGTTAGCCAACTCAGTCGTCTTATAAGAGCAAGGAAAACCGCAGATGTATAACAATGAATCTCAAATTATCTCTTGACATTTGCCTGTCTTGCAGAACATAATAACAATGTCACACGCTGTGTCACTTTTTCACGCTTCACTGTTACGGGTTTGCAAAATGTTTTTACATCGAGCAACAGCTTGGGTTGAAAACATTCATTGCATTTAATCTCTCCTTGGCCATAAAATACGATACTGTTAATAGACCCCTAAACTCCAAGCTCTGATTGGTGATTCTCTCCTTTAGCTGGTACACATTTCCTTGTACTGAATTAGTTATGAGAATTTGATGTAAGATGAAGATGACAACTTCTACCTGATAAGTTTGAATATTCCCAATACCTGTTTGGTGAATATTAATTCACCTTTTATCTTTTTTTTTCAATAGGCATCACTAAACGTGATAAATCTAATGACTACTTCGTTTGCTCAATAAAGCTCCCGAAATGCCATCATCATCATCTGGGTGAGTTTTTTCAGTTAGTGATAAGAGTAATTTTTACCGGTGAAGTCTGTGTAGCGAGAGTAAACATCCACAAGGTAGGCTGTGATTTCTTATCACTCAGCTACTTATTTGTTTGGCGTTCAGATGGTTGTTTTCGCAGGTACAGCACTTCTTGGTACTTTGAAATTATTGACAACTCAAAGAGTCTTTTTTGTATCAGTTGCCGAAAGTAATCTGAACTTTATTTGCAATTTTAT